GGTGTACTTGTCTATGATGCTATGTTAAATTCTACATCATTCTTGTATGTTTTTGGATATACAAAACTGTTTAGTGTAGAAATTATTATTTTGTGAGTTAATATTTAATGATTGTTTAGTTTTTCATAACAAGAGAGTTAAAAGTTAATTATTATAAAGGTGATAGTTCTGACAAGTTCGGTGGCTTAACTGCGTACAAGTCATACGTTGTGTTTGCAACTACATTGTTGTCTAGGCTTTAATAATATTGTTCATGTCACATTACTCAAATCTTTGGTATGCTTTCAGGCTTCAGTGAATAAGGTATATATTAAGGTGGCTCACAAGCACAAGTCAAGAACTAGAAAGTGAAGTGAAAGTGCAGTTCAGTCAGAAAATTAGTTAGTGAAAGAAAATGTGAAGTTAGCTGGCATGTGAATGCTTAGCCATAATGGGCAATATTTTAAAGCGAGTTTCACAGTTTAATAGAGGTAAGGAGAATAATTTGTCATGTCAAAGAGTGTTCTAAAGTAATTGAACCCATCTGTGTGGACTTTGACAAAAGAAGACAATTATTTAAAGTTCAAGATACAACAGTGGTAACCCACAGGATACCATAAGTGAATTATTCACTCATACTATTGTGATGATAATAGAGAAAAATAGTTCATCTTATCAATTGGATTCTAAAGTAATCGAATCAACATAAATGGACTTTTGACAAGAAAAGAGAAATATTTAGAGTTTGAGATACAACTCATAGTGTAAAGAATTTTTATACATAGTTTGACTTGTTTTGAATATATTATTTTAAGACAAGGAGTGTGTCCATTTATTGTTGAATAGAAGAATCATTAGCCCACATATACATAAAACCCTGACATATGTATGTATACATCTATCTATACTGTGTTCTTAGTGCAAGTTTAAGATGCAAAACTTTAATTTTTGTCTTGTTTTAAGTCTGTAATAGTCTACTTGAACACATTTCTGATATCCAAAACAAACAAAAAAAATGGAAAAACTATACCATGAAAATTGGCTAATGCTATATAAATGTTTTAATATTCACAGTTTCTTTTAGCTGACATTTCAGATATCAATCTATTAGCAAAAAGTGATAAAATTCAACCTTTTCATCATCACCATGGAAACTACAGTGACCTATATAAGTCTTATGTTTAACGTTTAGAAACAAAATATTTTCAAGTTATGACTGACAATACATGGTTTTGTACATTTTGTTCTCATGGTGCATAATTTATGCCCCTTTTATAATATCTAAATTAAAATTTCTAAACTTATTAATATAAACAGTTAATTTGGGACTTGAAGAAAGATAATGTTAATATATAAATGTTTTCTAACCATACAATGTTCATTGTTTCTTTTATAAGAGCAAATTTACCAACAGCTGAAAATAAATTTTATAATTGTAAGTATAAGAAAAACAAACCTGGTGACAGATGTATTACAAGATCAAGGCAGAAGGCTAAGAAATGTCACAAAGAATGTAGCAGTATCATGAGTAAAATGAACATATAATATCAATAATCAAAAATTGATGACTTGCTAATGGTGCTCAAACAAATTTCTAGAAAATGTATGGTAGAAGCATGATACTATCCAGTGGTCATAAATGCTTCCAAATTTTGAGCATAATAATTTGTTTGTTTTACAGTGTTGATGCAAAGCTATACAAGGGTTATCTGCATATAATTATCCTTAATTTAGAACTAACAGACCAAATGGAAAACATCTAGTTAATAGCATTTAATGCTAACTCTTGGACAATTCTTGTTAAACTGAATAGAGAGATTTGTCTATCACTCTTATGGTACTTCCACAACCTCAAAGTGTAGAGTGCATTTCTGTGGCAACAAAATGCATATCATGAATCCTGGCAAATTAACAGCAAAACTAGCCAATGGGCCATGAGCATGATGTAACTAAAAAAACATAATGAATAAATAACACAGTCTTTCAATGTGAAATAAAGTAACAAAAGAGTATCAATGTAAGCAAATAAACAAGCGTTATGCTTAGACAAAATTTCAACCTAAAGCCAACCAAAGTTCAGTGAGTGACATTTCTTATTATTGTCCTGTTTAAGCTAATGAATAGCTCTCGCTGCATTATATGACTTAAATATTTTATGTTACAATATAGAGAACTGTAAGTAAGGAAAACATGAAAACTAGTTCCAACTGAAAAGCTTTACAGGCTAAATCTTTTTCTTAATATTACCTTTATATATATATATATACATATATATACTGTTACGACAGCGGTAGTCACGT